CATTGTAAATGAATATACTATTATTCTTTTTCAAAATTATTCTTTTTAAATATTATATTTTTAAAATATATTTTAATATTCACGTCAGTGTGAATGTCTAATATTAGAAAAACGTATGGGATTACATAACCATCATTTAGACTTTAAACTTTTTAGTAAAAATCATACATAACGTTTATTTCAATCTAATTATTTATTATGTCTGTAGTTGAATTATTTTGCAACAGTAATACTTTCAACAGGTAAAATTAAAAAAAAATTATTCTGGGTGTCGGCCAAGTACCTATATATGTTCTGGACGGTTAACCCCACGCCCATCCTGTGCATTACAATAAAATCACTATAATCGTGTTAAATCTCGATGCTTCAGTAAGACACGCCTTTTTGACCCTACACACGACACTCAATTTTCATATCCACTGAAATTTACATATTATTAATATGTAAAAAAAAAAATATTAAATTTTACTCGGATTATATACCTATTATAATTTACATATTATTAATAGGTAAAATATAATGTTATATTTTACTTCGATTATAATTTCATTACGATACATAAAAACATTTTCTAATTTATATTGAGTAATGATATATTCGAGCTATAATTTGTGATTAGCTTTGAAATATTTATAAAATAGTATGTATAACATATATAAAATACTCATTCTAGACTTTCATAATTTTTACGGTAAATTATAATTAAATATAAAATATGTATGTTATATAGAGTGATTCACCAAGAATGCTTAAGTATACCTTTTTTACTTTTAACATTTTAATTTTTGAATAAATGCATATTGAAAGGAAGAAAAAAAGGATTTGTATTCTTGGTGACCGGCGAGTCACCCTACATAACTAAAAAATACAATATGTATAATTAAATCAAATATGCATTCATTAATCATTATGCAATAATGTAAGAAYTGGTATATTATATAAGCTATACTGCTATAACATAATCACATTAAAAATAAATATATGATACCTTATGGTTCTTCGTTTGGCTTGACGTTATACTGTATGTCTGTATATATACACGACACTGYAGAAGCATGGTATAAAAGTACCCCGGTCTACTGATATTTTTATTTTTTGCACCTTTACTGTGTTATTTATTAATAGTAAATGTTTGTTGGATCGGTCACCCCGGTAGTGAACATTATTGATTAGACATGCCGCTGATTTGTAGGGTGTGCTCTATGTTTACCTACTTTTAGACACGTCATTAAATGAAATTTATATATATAAAATAAAGTCACATTTTATTAAATTAGTGATATAAATTATATTCTTACTATCTATAGATCATAGATGTTTAAAATTAGTATAACGATGAAATAACCAGATATAATTTGTAAACGATAAAAAATGTTTAAAAAATAGTAATTTTATACTATAATAAATAAAGACATACATTGTTGAATAAATACAAATGTTGAAAAAAACGTAGAAGTTATGTGGTGTATACATATAGTTACAGAGTAGGGAACTCTCCCCATATTCACAAATATTTTAAACAATAATTATTAATTATTATACACCAATCTATATTATATTATAAAAGTATTTCTTTTAAGTATAATACTACATTTTGTTTGGAACATAACAATCCTCATTCCTGCATAATCATCATTTATCATTGATAACAATTCGCATTTATTTATAGGTTTTAACTTTTACCTCTAACATAAAGTATAATAAAATTAATAACACACTTAATATATTTTAAATACATTGTTATATACTTTAATAATTATTATTGGCTTTATTTTCTAAACTGCAAGTTAATATAAYAAACTATAAAGCACATGATTTGGAAGGGGGGAAGGTACTTGACAGATATTTGGGAAAAGAAAATAAGTCTATAACAGCCACTCCCTTATTTACGCTAATAATTATAAATGTTAATGAGTATTTTCATCATAAAAATATTTTATTAATAAATATAATTGGCGTTGTACAAATAAAAAAACGGAAAATTAAATCGAAGTGTAAATAGTACATTTTATAGAGACTTTTCTGATTTTACGGCTTATTAGGTTTTCCGTTACCTATACATCTATAATACTTATTTAATTTTGCTTAACATTTAAAATTAATTTTTACCTCATATTACTATAATTTATCTATTAAACTTGAAATGAGGTCAGTGGCGCTAACTATATTATTTTAAAGTGAATTCACTTATTGTTAACAATATTTCTTACTACTGAAAATACAATTACGATTTTTTATATTATTTAAATGTATTAACAACATAGTATAATACACATAATAAGAATATATGAAAAATATTTCAACCAATTATTGGCAATTTTATATTACAATTTATAATACATAAATATTATATATATATATATATATATATATACAATATATACTCAGAAATATATCATGCTCCATGTTAAAATTCGATTTGAAACGAGGATATACGGTGCAGTGATTACTTTTTTGTACACACCGAAATAGGCTTTTTTTCATACATAAAATATCATCATTCGTTATCGTATTATAATAATATACATATGCGTGTTAAAATTAGAAAAAGCCCATGACATATTTTTAAAACTAACATGTACTCGACATTGAATTAAATAATATTTTAGTGTAATATAATAGATTTATAGTATAAGAGTCCTATTGAATAATAATAAATAAAAAAAGGATATAAAATATTTTAATATAAATAAAATAGCAGGATTCTCTATACTTTCTAGAAATAATGTATTTATAGTTGAAAATAATTTTAATTACATTTTTTTTTCAGACAATCGAAGCCCAATATTGATAAAAACGACCAAAAACATGAAACTGGTAAGATTTTTTCCAATTTTATTACTTTATTAATATTATTATTTGAAATTTAACACACCAAACTAATACCTTACTAATTAATTTTTCTCTAAAAATGAAAAAATATATCCTTTTACTTAATAATGCGTGGTCTTATATTCTATCTAATTCAAATATTTTTTTAACAAACTTTTAAAAATAGAAAACCTTACCTACTTAATCACATTTTTTCTGCTATAAATACATATAAATTAGAAATACACAACTGGAAATTATGACGTATATATTGACTTACTATATACTACTTTTTATAATTTTAATTGTTTATACGCTCAATGTATACATTTAAATTAACTGTTAAATAGCGAAATTCAAAATATTTAATTTAATTACAAGTAGGTATATACTTTATTATGTACATTACATTTACATATTTAATGTTGAAGTTGCTATAATGTACAAAAGCAATTGTAAGAACATACTAAAATATCGAATTTGATTTTAAATAATATGATAATGAAAGTTTTTAAAAAGCAATACAGTAGTTATATTTATTTTGAAATAATAATGTCCATCTCTTTCTTGATTTGAAAAATATCAGAAAATTATATAATCAAATAAGTGTAATAATATAAGGAATCTGCTGTAATTACTAATTATTATCAAATTGTATCATTTAACTTAATTATAGTAAATTATAATACCATATTATACTTCTGAATCGTTTTTCATTTTATGGTATTATGGCATAGTATAGAATACATTATATAATATTATATATTTGTTTTGTTTACTGGCCTATATATGTAAACATATGTAGGCCACAAACGTCTCATTAAAGTATTCGATACCTACTTGAGAAAAAAACAGCCTTGTCTAATATCAGTGTGGCCGATTTTTCGTCAAGTCTTTTAGTAGGTAGTGTGTTATAGTCTTATAGACGGTCCAGTCGACCGTATCACCCCACCGGAGTACTCTTTCTCAAGCACCACCATGCACCTTCAGATAATCTTTACCGATGAAAGTGAACAGTTTACTCTAGTGTTTTGTATTATTTGATAATATACGTGAACATGCGATTCGCATTAAGTTACTGGTGCATTGATCATTTTTATTTTTTGTGCCCAGTCAATATAAATAACAATACAATGCCGGAGTATGAAAGTACAAAGTCGAGGTTAAAAGACAAATACCATAGACCTAATAAGTTAAGAGCAAAAATAGGTAAGAAATATATTTGAAATGTAACCAAATAAAAAAATAGTTCTCGATATATTTACAGTTAACCTTAAAATCATTTTTTTTTTAATTATTAGGTAGGTACATAAGTAGGTATTAAAATTTTACTTATTTATCAAAATAAATATTCACAGGAATTTATATTTAATATCAATGGCTGCATACATTTTATTACTTCAGTTGTATTATATATAATATAATAAATAAATTTCCGATAAATGTATTGTAAGACTCTTCACATATGAAAGTTTATTTAAAAAATATTAATTTCTATAATAGAATGTTTTTGTCTTATATATCTAGAAATATTCAAGTTCCTTTTTATAAGAAATAGAAAAAAAATATATCTTAAAATTTTATAAAAATATTGATTGTTATAAATACCAATATATGTAATTATTAATAATCAGGGCTGTGAATTTATAGGAAAGTGCATATATTTTTRATGATTGTAAAACATAGCTTTGTAAGTTCATAATTTGAATTATGTAATTACACGAATCCATTTATGAAATTTTTATTTTGCAAATTTTTGACGTTTTTAATTTTTAGGTCATTTTTTTCGCATTTTTAGGTCATATTTCGCATTTTTCGGTTATATTTTGCTTTTTAGTTCATTTCCTAGTATTTTTAACCAAATTCCGTCAATTGACTTGTTTAAAAATTTTTTTTTTTAATTTTACACAGGCTGTATATATTATATCAAGTACCCGGAAACAAATATCTTTAAGTTTGTTTTATTATTTTAACAAAATAAATACAAAAAGAAAATTTTTTTTTAATGTTTCAGGTGAATAGCATTAACTTAATACTGATTCAATCAACTTTTTTATTAAATAAACACTTTTTTGTACTAATGTTTAATATCCTGTACCTAATATTAATATAAATATTTAAATTAAATTAAAAACCATCTTAAATGAATTTTATACTATAATTTTTGGCATTTTATATTCCTTTTTTTTTGCATTTTAAGTGCATATTTTTAATTTTATTACATTTTTTAAGGTTTTTTAGTGCATTAAATTCACAGCCCTATTAATAATCAATATAATAATGTTTATTATATAAATTGTCATAAAATTTGAGTTAATAATTTTTGTAATTCAAAGTCCACAATCAATTCGTTTCTTTTTTTTACTTTATTGGTTATAGAAGTCCCAATCCAGATATACCTAAATAAAATAATGATTAAGTATATGCTATCAAAATGTACGTGTCATTCGTACGAAAAACTATATCTTCTCCATACAAATATTGCTTGTCAATAGTCTAAAAAATGTGTAATATTTCGTATCCTATATAGCCGGATTCAATACTTTCTTTTATATTTTTAATCATAGGTAATTCTCTGTAAATTAATCGTAAAATATTAGTTTTATTTGTTATTACAATTTATTTTGTTATAACTTACATTTGTTTATCATAATAGATTGTTAATTTTTAACAATTTGTTTATTATAACTGTTTGGCGTTTATTCTAATAAATAAATAAAACACGTAATATAAGTATAACCTACCTATAGGATTTCTTATTTTAATACACGTATTTAAATAGYTATCATACAATTTAGGTAAGGTAAACTACAAATTACAATAATCTAAATATCATATTGATTAATTTAATTAAATAAATTGGGAAAATGATGTCAATAATGAAAAATTTAAAAATGATAAGGTAAAATGTAATTTGTAAATAATTGTCAATAAGAAATACAATTAAGGTTTTTGAAAAATTAAAAAAAAAATGCTTTTCGATAGTATTTTCCTTACCATCATGATGTATTTTTATTACAATTTTTTTTTTTTAATTAAAATTATGGTTTTGCAGTACGAAGTTTAATGTTTATCTCTGATATATATTATTATTATTTTTTTTTTTATTATTTTATTAAATATTCAATCTGTTTTACAAGTATTATTATATACAGTAGAAAATATGATATATAAGTAGAACATATATGGAGCATAGTCTATTTTAGTCTATACGTTTATTTTTTGAAAATTATCAGAATGTCATTGATTACTGATTAGTTTACTACAGAACCTTCATCAAATCAAATTTAAATTAAATTTATACTTCTAATTAAAGAATTCGTAATATTGTTTATTAGTGAGCTCAACTATACAAAAATAGGCCTTGCACGTCACTCCACCCACAGGAACTACACCCATCCTGTCCATAATTGGACGATTAGTCTCAATAGTAAATAATATACAAGTTCTAAATATAAAATAGGTAAGCAAGTGTGTAATTCGTTTTTATTATTTAAAATCTAACTATATTTCGAATATTATTGAACTTAAAATTACAAAGCTTTTTATTTTGAATTATTTAAATTACTTTAACATTTTTCGCTAAAAGTTTTTTTTTTTGAGAAACAAATTTAAATAGAAATTATGTCACTTATAAAGTAAAAACAATAATAATCAATAGAAATATAATATATAGTATGCTAAAATTAATAATTTAATTATTATACGGTACTAGATGTCACTAAATGATTGAATGGTTTAAAATGTCGACAATAGAATCCTATACCTAACTTAGTTGCCAAATCTGTTTAATATTCAATTTTTACTCAAATAAAATATAGTAACTTTAAGTTATAGTCATTCATCAATGATCGTATTATTGATTTTGCATACGAATGTCATAATTATTWCTCTTGCTTATAAAACAATATTTTTACAACAAATATTAGAATATGTTATAGTTTAACTGTTAAACTTTATCAACACTACATTATATTAATAATATACAGCTGTAATAATAGGATATTTGATCCCATATAATATCTATACACGAGGTATACATATATTAACCACCCCATATGCACAGTTCCGTTGACCTGTGTCTATTCGTCTGTCATCTATTTCATTGTGCGCATGTGTTACCAACAAAAACACGCGTACATAAATTAATGACTATTGTATGTGTGTGAGTTTGTAAATAATGAGTTCGTGTGTGTTAACCCATCTCCGGTTTTCGATGCTATATGCTACTTCCTCTATTCGGCGGGTGTGCCCTATCTAATCTGTGCTCACGCAGCGGATCTACCACAGTCAGTCGATGATGCTGAACACCATTGAACAAACATAGCTCACTAACCGCCTAATAAAGTCCTATATTGTATGTTGGATTTATAAAGAATATTATTTTAATTTTTTTTTTTTTGTATCGATCTATGATAATATTTTCACAAAATATATACCGGCTTATTATTGTTGCAGAAGCTAAAGTAGGCGTGGGTATAAGACCAAAACCGACCGAAGCAGAAACGCCAAATAAAAAAAGTGAGTAAAAACAAATTTTAAAATATGTTATTTAATATATTTATATAATATCAYAATTACATATTAACACCATACACATAAGAATTGAATGCGAGTAACTTCAATAGTGGATGTATATTTTAAATTTTATTCAAATATAAATGGTTAAATATTTTTGTAACAAAACGATTAACATAATTTCATTTTTATTTTATTTTAAACATATTTATGTAGTAAAAAAATAAAATATCATATAAATACTAAATATAAAATTAATTTATACAACATAAAAATGTAAAAAGATAGCCCAAAATATATAATACTGCCTATAGGTAAAAGAGTACGAAAACGTAGGAGGAAAAAGAAACGCGCAGACTCACCCGAAAAATTAAATTGTCAACATCCGAAAACTGTACCAAATAAAATAATTGAACACACACAAGAAATAACGCAAAAACCGGAATATCCAAAAATACAAATAATACCAGCAAATTCAGATTCACGATTTGATGAATTAGAATGGATTAAACAAAATGAAGCGCTCTTAATAGCTGACTTAAAAACACGTCAACAAGCTGGTTTACCAATTCAAGTAGTAGTTAGAGTTGAAAAAATTACACCTTCAGTACCAGAATATTGTCAAATTATTCCAGACTTTTGCCACTTAGATGTGATTAAAGAGGAAACAAGTGCAAGCGATGAAGATCCAAATAAAGAAACTTTAGAATGTTCCGAACAAATTAAAAACGCGAATAATTTCGAAAAGTTACCTGAAGTTTATGGTACATGTATCGATGAAAGTAAAAATCATGAATTAGAAATCGTTTCAAAAGTTAATGCAAGCGAAGTAATCGCTTCTGAATGTCAACTCGAAAGACTAGAGTCTCCGTCTTTAGTCAAAGAGTCGGAGATTCTCAGATTCGCAGATATCGTTATTAATGAAAACGAATGTGTCATTGAATTAGAAACACTTGTACCGTTAAAAAACGAGTCTTTAGATGTACATAATATAGAAAATAATGAATATGTTGACTGTAGAACACAGAGTATTTCAAACAAAAATAATTTAATCAATGGAAAATATAAGGACCATTTCAATACAGAATATGTTAAGGTTAACAAAAGTCCGATGCAACACGAAAAAACAATAAATAATAGTATGATTGTAAATGGAAATAGTAAAAAAAATCAATTTATAACAAATACTTTACTCGATATAGAATCATATGAAAATCAAAAAAATCAAAAAAATCCTATTGAAATTCATTGTAAAGATAAAACAGTAAACGACTTGGATATTTTAAATACAAAAACTCAACTCATTAATTCCTCTGGTTCAGTCGAACTTTCACGTAATTCAATCATGAAAAAAAATAATGAATTTCAAAAGAATGTTTTTAATAATAACCTTCAAGATAACACGGAGCACGGTGGAGAGTCTTCGGACGATAGTACTATAAAACAATATAAGATATATGACCATAAACAAAAATCACGTAAACAAAATAAAGTTTCCATCAACGATAAATTAAAACAAATAGCTAGATTACTTCAGGATGACACCGATGATTACGAAGAATTACAATCATCTCAAACAACTTCTAGATGTGTTTCAACAGCTTCTGATGCTGACGTGGATACAGATTGGGTAAGTTTCACTCTCTCTGACGGCGAGTCATCAAAATCTTTATGTCTATCTCCTAGTCAGTCGAAATCGTGTTACGCTCCGTCCAGTAGTTCTAATACATCTGAAATTATTGATCTGCACAAAAAGTTTCTCAATAGAACAAGAAGTCCAAATTTATCACCACGTCAAGATATAACACCCATGGTAGATATTTTAAGTTATAACAAATCTCAATCACAGTCACCTTCAAAGTCGTATAGTTCCGAAGTTTTCGACGAAGCGTGTCGAATGTGCGGTACTAGTGACGAACCATTATCTGATGCTGAATGTCTAGTGTCTTTGCGCAAGTATCGAGAAACACGATCTAGATTATTGGATGTAATCCAAAAAGAACAACAACTTAATCGATCAGTCATCGATCGACCGTCATCAATGCCTACATTTATGGACACACTGTCGTTTCCCGACAACCACACAAGAGAACTTATGTACGCAGAGTACATGGAAAAAGTGAAAGAAAGAGAAATTAGACTTCAAAATAAAGTTATTCGAATTACGAAGGCCAGTAGACCGTTGTCATCAGGTACTCTGCAATCACTAAATGATATCGATGCAGAGTTTGTAACCAAAGCCCGAGAGAGGTTGGATAAGTTGGGCGTCGAGGCGGATGTGCATGTAGAAGTGAAGGATGAATATTATCCAAAACACTTGGTGGATATTGTACCGGAAGAAGAAGTTTGCATCGAAGAAGTGCACATGAATGGTGAGTCAAGTGGATTGAGAGTGTGTGTATACGTTTTTGTTTTATTTTGTTTTACTAACACGGTTTTTGCAGTGTGGCCAAGTCTAATTACGTTGCTTCGATACGAATCAGCAGAAGAAATTTCTAAAATAAGCTGCAAATGTCCATCGTTCTGAAAATCTTACACCGATTTTTGTTTCTATAGACATATAGTTGTCAGTTGTAGAACAGTTGATGCCGATACAATTTGTTCAAGACGTGTATACATGCGTACGATTACCTCTCTCACGCACCATACACACACACACACACACACACACACACAGACACACACGCACATTCACAAACTTTGTGGCACTATTTTTATAAATGGTATACGACACGACACGTCCGACGACTGGACTGACCAAATTCTGTTTCTATAATTAAAACAGAGTAGAGAGAGGTGAGACGAAACCTTATACACGATTTTTCTGCATACGGCGGAATAGCAAAATAAACTTTAAAACAAGAGAAATATTATGTTTAAACTTGAGTAAAATCATCATTAAATATGATTCAATAATATAATATGGTTAGTCGATACATTCAGTTTAAACATTAACAATATGAATATTATATTATAATGTATAGGTATTCTATATAGCATCAAAGTAATTTATAAACGATTTACCTACTTATATCACTATTCTGTTTAAAACTTGATTTTTTTAAATTTAGTAAGGACAAATAACAAAATATCTAAACGAAGGATATCTGATTGCTCGCTTCTTGATGAAATCGATCAAGTTTTTGGCGGATTTTTGACTAGAAAAAATATAGGTTGGTTAATGAACGTATAGGTATGCTACATGCATGCACAATGTTTTGTATTAAGTCTGTGCGCATGAGTTCATAGCGTTTTGTGATTGGTCCAAATAAACTTTAGGTAGGTATTGTTAAATCGTAATTAAAATGAAAAATGATTAATTGACTACCTATTTGTATTTTTATTTTTTAAATACTTATATTTTAATTMATTTTTATAAAATATATCAATGTTAATAAATTTGATTTTGAAAAATTATTGATAATCTATTAATAGAAACCACATTATTATGTAACAATGTATGATTTAGTATAAAACTATAAAATATGTACCTATAATTAAAATGGAAAATATATTTTAGACTTTATTATTGTCTAAATATCTGTGGTACCTATGATAAAAAAAAATGTTGGAGCAGGTATCTTCGTATCCATGACATATAAAATATCTATTAATAATTAWGACAAGAAACTGAAATAAAATTTAAAAAATATCATTAATTTAGTTAAAATTTTAAATATATAACAAAAAAATATTATGGATAGGTATATCATAAAATATAGTTACAAAATCATCGAGTAAACAAAATATTCTGATCACTTAAATGTTTGTAAATAAAATATAAACAATACAATTTAGAAAATATTACCTACAAACTCACAAACAATATTGAAATTAAATTGAACAAAAATATCATAATTTACTGTAATGTATGACTTGTACASTTGTACACACTTATACTAAAATTGAATGGGTTAAACTAATTTATATAGTTATATAATAATATTATAATAACCAACAATTGATATAAATATATAATAAGTAATATGTAATATTAATACTGAAATAATTTTTAAATATGTTCTCATACATTTTTGTTAAGAATCTGTTTTGAATTTGTAAATTATTTATTCAATTACGTCACTTTTATAATATTGTTTATAATGCAAAATGCAAATGACTAATGAGAATAATATATTAGCATACAAAAAAATTATCAATTCATTAAATTTGGAAAGCTCATTAGGTTTATAAAACATTGGTAGATTATATTTATTTTTTCTTAATTTTTATTAGATAAATCAATATGATGAATRATATCATATTTTGGTCGTTTAAGACGTTTAAGTTGGTTATATAGACGACTAGAACACTATACTATATGCATTTTCAATTTGACAGTGAATTTTAAATAAAATTCAACTATTCTGTTTTTCCAAAAATATTTAATTGTATTTTTGAGTTATATAAATATTATGTAAATAAACGAAAAACAAATTTTTACATTAAGCCTCCGGTAAATCTAATAATAAAACAGGTGCCGCCTGAAAGTCGGCCACCGTTGAGTTTCAAAGATCATTAGCCAATATTTTTTTTTTTCATTATTTTTATTTATACAGTATATTTTTATGTTCATTTTTACTCCCACCCGGCAATACTCGAACAGGAGATTTCCCGCGGTATTTAAAAAAAAACAGTAACGCKCACACTATTCAAACCGACGCCGAATCGAACGCGTGGCAAAAACGTTCGTCGCATACTGTTAAGTTTCGTTTCCGGTGTTTTTGCACTCGAATATCAAGTGTTTAAAATTTTTTTTTTGTTAATTTATATGAATTGATGATTACATGATGCGAAATAAAAGCAAAATCAGTCCACAGTTCAGAGCTGACGCTAAAAAAGCAGGTATGCTATTTAATTGATTCAATTTGTTATTGAAAAGATATTAATCAGTAATCAATCTTACAAACGTAATTTAAATTAAAGCTTTAGAAGATAATCTATARTATTGTGATTATAATAGTTAATATAGGAATAGACTTATCACAGGTTTTAACTATACCATATATATTTTGATTGTATTATACTTGAAAATAAGCGTACTGCTGCTATGTGTTATGACAAATTATAAACGTAGGTAAATCTATAAAAACTACCTATTATTCATCAAAATGTATTAAATCATAAACAGATACGTTTGGTTCCTGTTCTTAATAATCATTGTGAATAAATATTGTTTTTATTAATAATTTTAATGAATTGGTTTTGTSAAGATTATTGTTTTTATACTTTATTACTGACTATTTTTTAGATACAAGCAAAAAAAAACATGTGATTTATAATAATATAGCACTGAATTTAAATGAAATTTACAATCTAGATGGCATTGATTTAGTAATTTAATTAGATTTTTTAATATAATCAACTACACTTAGTGTAAAKTAATAACTTATTAATTATGTTCTAAATGTATAATATTGTATTTTTGTTAAAACAAAATTAATACTATCTTCTATGKAAAAATCGACCTTTTGTAGAGTTTTAAATTTTTAGACTTGTTCGAGTTGCGTATTGTTGTGGTACATCAATTATCTATTAGGTAATTTTAAATATATTTTAATTTTTTAGAACAGAGTCCATAAATTAGGTACAATAAAATACTATYAACATTTTTATAATGTGGTGTAAGTCGATTTGCCTTGACTATTTGCCGTTTTACTTATTRATAAAAATAAATAATTCAAAATATATTACTATATCAAAACGCTTATGATGGTGATATTCAYAAATCTTWAAAAAAACTTATGATTGATATTTTTTTTCAAAATAAATCAAATGATAAATTTTATTTTGCATGAACATATTGTATTACAATTCTTTTCTATATTTCTTTTTAACAAGAATTTTCCTATTTTATTTAAATAGAAAAAAACATAATGTTTAGTTTTAATAATTTTAAATAGGATAGAATCAAACTTTAATTATAATTTAGAAAATAAAAATTATTGTTTTAAGTAGTAAATTGCATTTTTATTCATAACTATATTAACCAAAATATTATAACATCAACATTTATTTAAATAATTACTGTATATATATTTARTTAWTAATTGACTTTTACTTTCAACAAAATAATTTAAACAAAATTGTTTTTTCGTTAATTAAAATATTAATGTAAATGCATATTTTTTTAGTGTTATTTTTATATGTGGTTAAGGATTATTTATTTATGATTCAGTCTATAGTACATAATTATTGTGATATTTTAAATATCACCATCATATAAATTATTACCTCAATTTTTTTATAATGACAAATTTTGCAAGAATAAATTACRTAAAATATGTATTAACCTATAAAAAATGTTCATGTTTGATTGCCAAAATCCAAAACCAGTGCCAGGAAGGCAGGAAATCAAACTATCAATAATAAATTTCGTTACTTCATCTTCCGTTTATATATATATAAATTGATTTTTTTTCGATGGCCAAACGACATTACCAAATCCCTTTTGACTTTATCACAAAGTAAGCACTTAAAAAATATCTCATGTTATAATAATTAATATTATTTCATTATTACACACTAGGCTCATCTTATAAGTATATATATTAAATATTTGTTTTTAATATAATATACTTCAGCATCTGGCACAGACGAGTTTGACCATTTGCCAATATGTGTTTCTTTTTTCAGTTTTTAATATGTCCATTCGTCTGAGAGTGAATCATTTTTTTCGCCTCGTGCGCTTTTTGGCTCTAGATTACAGTATTATGTGCAACGTGCACCTATGTGTAGCGTAGGCGCTTTTATAAAAAAAATAAAAATAAAATTGTAAAAATGTTATCAGCTAGGCTACCAATACATTACAATTACTAATAATTATTACACTATACTATTTATGATTWCTAAACAAAAGCTGTGTAATTTTTCACCATATTGAATTATTTATGTAACTATTAATTTACCATTAGTTAATATTATATAATAATTAATGATGTATTTATTAAGTTATGAAAATTATTTTAATTTTAATTTTAAATATTATAGATATACTTAGTAATGTGTCGTATATGTCAATGGCTTTTTTTCTCGTAAATATTTTTGCAAATATATCATTTATACCACATCTAAAATAATACAATTAATGCAAGCATTATTGTGATTGTTGCTAAGGTGTGTGTATGTGTGTGTTGACGTGTTGTACGAGTTATATTTAAAAAAAATTAAAAATGTATATTATATTATATAAATGAATTGACGAGGAACGCAATGCCTCTTCACTTTAGAAAATATTTATGCATACTCCTTCTAATTGTATCCAAATCAATAAGGTATTTAAATATTCAGTTACGCACATAATTTTTACACATCCCCCATCTAATTTTTTCCCAATTCAATCMAATGCTTTAATTATGTGTATTGCATATGATACAAAGTAAAATGTACTTTATAAGTTACCCAGCAATTAAATTCATTAAATATTTCTATTAAAMAAATAAAATTTAATGTAATTATTAGATATTATTTAAATGATATTTCCGTTAATTAAATAATTATAATCGGTGAATACAAAAAGTATGTTATACTTAGCAGTTTTGTATATTGTATTCGTTTATCTTTAAAAAAAAATTAAAATTCCATGTATCGGATAATATTCTGTTTATTTAATAACTAATTATGTTAAACATAGTTCTATAACTTGTWTTAATTTTATTTATTATGAATAATAACCGTTTTTTTTGTCTTGAAAATTAACCTTACCTACGATTAATACAATATTGTATAACTAATAACGAATTTTAATTTAAATTGCTTGCATTTCCAACTATTCATAATGTACCAACTTTTTAAAATTTGTCAATGTACAAATATTTGAAACRACAACATTATTTCAGAATACAAACAAAAATAGAAATACACCTGTGGGCTGTGACCTAATCACTCAAGTACGAAAAAAAACATATGTTTTAATGTTAGCACCTATTGAGTKCAACTTTAGTTAAACAATTTAGTATTATGTATAATGCCATAAATGGTAAATGTGCGTACACGGATAATCTTACTGAACAAGAAATTAGTCTGTATAGTTAAATAGTTACATTATAAAACTAAAGCATGTGTATTGTGTGTGACTTGTTAGAATTAATTTCATTGTTGGTGTTGGCTCTCAGACCTCATCGTATCRATAATGACAATGATTGTATTTGTTCAGGTGTCTGGTCRCCAGAGCTAAAGCATAAATCATTGGACTTAGAGAATATCTCAAGCAAAGTAGAAAAAAAACAGCCACGGACCGAAATACCTCCAGTATGGACACCCAATTCCAGCCCAACACCTGAGAGAAAGTCTTACAAGCCAGTCAGGTTCGAATCACCAACGTTATCACGTAAAATAACCAATGTGGATACTACAAATGTATTAGTTTTAATATTTATTTAATAAATCAAAATAAAATAAGAATTTAAAAGCATTAATATTTTATAGGTATCTTCAAAACCACCGGTTGACTTACCTATATTGAGCCCTCCACTACCACCTCCTCTTCCACCATCATTACCATTGAAATCACAAGGTAAGAAGTACAAAATATTTTAATTATCTCTTTTAAACATTATTGTCTTGCACTCGGCACTTAAATTTATCACAATTTTGGTGGAAGGTGATGAAAATGTTCATAGCACGGACAGGAGACTTCCGAGAGTWCAAAGCCCTACTGTTACACTCCTTCAGAAAGCAAGAGGTATAACAAATATAATCTATAAAAAATTAATATTCTAATACTAAAACTTATTACTTATGAGTTAAAATGACGATAACACCGAAAAATGTTTGWGACTTAATTAAAAAAAAAWATTTTACAGTTACATATTAGRTATGTAATAATACATTTAGAATTACAAAGCTACTAAAACTACTATGTAAACATGAATCAAGTAGATCTAAAAAGAAGCATAATAAACTTATTTTGAGGAGCTGACCCCTGGATCAATTTTTTATAAGCTTTGTATGGAGAGGCCAGGAGAATTTTGTATTTAAGATAACTTAGCTCCCAAGTACCCACTAGTTCCTCTAATTAGTAGGACTTGTTTCTYATATAATACTTTAGCAACGTAATTGTGTTCAACTTATGAATATTGTTAWAGCTAAAATTAGGTAGATATATAAATAGGAAGGTAATAAATTATATTAAATTATCATTTTGATTATTGATGTACGACGGTAATATATTATATACAATATTACAATATACCTGTCAGCTGTTCTACTATATCCTGTACAGTGTGCATGCATATTAAATTGTTTGTTTTAATACTTTATTGTTTGTTATTAGTATTATTAGCTAATACGGATAATACCACACTGTCTATATATGTTAAAATTTAAATGTATAGATACCTATACACGGCATTTTATATTGTATAGCACAGATACCTGCGTACATGATGCAGTATATGATTATTTAGGTTTAGCACCTATCTTTATTTACTGACTTAATKTTATCAAATAAACTTTAATTTTAAATTTAAATTACATTTTTGAAATAGCACTACTATAGAGCACTAATCACGTATAAGATGYACAATTTTTAAAYAGTTTAATAAATGTAATTTGTTATTGGCTACATTGACTTATCATTTTTATWTTATTTTTGGTTTCTTTTTATTCRATAATTCAATCGACACTTATGATGATGAAATRCGTTACGAGTAAAATTAAAATTTARTTATTGGTTGTGATATTGAATTCGATGCATGAAAATAATTTTGTCGATTGAAAAATATTATTTTTAAAGAATATTMTATTATAGAATACAAACGTAAAAATTATCTGATTGCGGGTTTAATTCGATTCCATCAACGATCAAATAATTAAAGTAATTTAAAAGAGAGTTAAAATATTATTTTTATTTATCAATATTAAACATAATACATTATATTATTTCATTTNAACGATCAAATAATTAAAGTAATTTAAAAGAGAGTTAAAATATTATTTTTATTTATCAATATTAAACATAATACATTATATTATTTCATTTATTTACGTTTAAATAGCTTACAGCAAATTTGTCTTCTAAATTAAATTATAATATTTTACAATAGATAATATATTAAGAGTATTTATCATTATGTAAAAATATTTTTGTATATGATTTTAAACTAAGGTAGCAGGTACTCACGAGTACTTATTTAACTATAAATACTTGATCATTTTGTATTTAGCCAATCTTATGCATACATCAATATTGTAATGAATAGTTAGTGTTCAATAACTGTATGGCATTGAAAAAACTGTCTTCATATTTGATTATATACTTTATAGCACAGAAGTAGTTATAAATAATCACAATTATGTAACGAACGATCGAGTATAATTAATCTAATTTTTTATACTATCAGTCGTGAAAATCGGTATATAATATTTATATTAAGTAATAAGTGACCAATAAATGTACGGTATTAAATATTGATGTTTTTATTATAGAAGGACAATTACCAAAAGGCTCTGCATACCTCAACTTGGAAGAATATAATATGGACAAAGAAAATAAAACTAGAGGTTCTACTGTTAAACGTAATGTCGAAACCCAAGAAATAAGTAAGTAAAATTATTATGAAAAAAATTTAAAAAAATAAACGGCAGAATAAATTATAAAAATATGTTTTATACTTTTGATTTATTAATAATTACATTAATTAATTTAGGGATATGAATGGGGGGGGGGGTTTAGGAAATAATGAGTATATTATATCATGATATTATAAAGATTTCTGAAACTTAAAAAGTTGGACGTTTTTTACACTAATAAGTAATAAGTATAACTACGCTAATATTTAGCATACACGTGTTCGCAATTCTAATAAAATTATAATTCTGGATAATTAAAAACATTTATCATTATATGAACACGTGATAAAGTTATTAAGATAAGACCTGTTTATCGTACGAGTGTTGAAAAGTACATTATACCTACTTTATTCGAAGCATGTGTATGTTTATTTATTCTAAAATTATATAAATGTTCTTTAGCTTAATTCGTAAAAATACAAGTTCTATATTGTTATTCGATTTCATAATTGATTTTTTTGATATATGTTTAGAATATGCTTCAAGGCGCGAATATGACGGTCTGCAATCGGATGAGAAAAAGCAAAAAAAAATGGTCGAAATCAGTCAAAAAAAGTATGAAGGCATCGGCCCGACAACCAAAGAAGGAGTTCCAATTGTATTAAGATCGGTGTGTTAAATTTTAACAGTTATTTACTATGTTTCTATGATAATTAAAGTGTCATAGATTGGGAGCTTATGCAAGAATAGTGACACATCTCAAGAAAGTAAATTTTCCAGTACAGTTGCTTAAAGGATTGTTGTTTTTTGCAATTCTCTTTATGATCTCGGATTTTTAAAATTAACTAAAAAATGTTTACTTTGCATCCTAAAAATATTAATTTTGTGTGGATAACATTTAGAAGAATTTCCAAAAATGTTAGATTTTCATCCCTCTTTTAAGTTATTTCTGACATTCTTCTTGAAATTTAATTCGCACTACCTATAATGATATATTATCATAACATATTAATTAATAATAATAAATAACTAGTTATAAAATGCACATAAACACTATAATAATTTTATTATTAATTAATAAAAAACAACACTTAATTCTAAAAAAAGTATCTACACAATAATAATGTCCTAATTTGTCTTTTGTAAATAATGTTTTATTGTTTTTAATTATTTTCAACAAAACTGGCACATTTATTGATTTGTGAAAATCTTCAGGATCATAAATTAGTGATTAAGTATGCAATAAAAGAAGAATGACTCGGCAGCAGTCTGAGGTCATTTTTAGAATTATTAAAAATGTCATTCTTKCACACTTTGGATTTTTTGCTATACATTTTCATAATAATCTCGAAAATGGAAATTTTTAAGTTATGTCACTTTTGTBATTTGCACCGGCATTATGTCTATTGGTCATTTGTCCAGAAAGTACCTAAATCTAATTCAATACAAAATTAATTAACTATATAAGAATGCTTAGAATTTATTTAAAATATGCATCAAATAAAAATTAATTTATTATTCAATCATTTAAATTTTATTTTATTTATTGATGATTAAATTAATCGATTAAAACTTTATTTTATTTTTAAAAAATTTTAAATTATTTTTAAGGTTTAACTTAGTGAACTGTCAGTTAATTTTACTAAAATATACATATATTATGTAAGAAGGTAAAGAAACTTACTTAGTATAAAAGATATTTTACGAAAAACCTTGAATAAGAGCTAAAACTTAATAGAATGACGAATATGAAAATATGATTAAGCCAGTAAAAATCGAACAATTAATATGCACTATAAATTGTTAATCTGAATTATCTAAATAATGAAAAAAATTTATATTTTACTCTGTATTAATTTAGATTAAAAAAAAAAAATTGTAGTTATAGGTGCACACCTAAACATCCGCTCTCTACTCATATTTACTACAATTTATATAGAATTATAAGCAGGGGATTTATTAAATGTAAATAAAAATTATTTTAATTTTATATTTTATTGTTATAAAAAGGGGAACAAATTAAGATTGCGCATTTGATTCCATTTATTCCATTTTATATTTTATACCCTGAACYCTTAAATAATAATAATAAATTTAATAACTAATGTTGTTTATAATTAATAATTTATTTGATAAAAACTTTTAGGAAATCAAAGAACCAAACCAACCAAAATGGTACAAACAGATGTATGAATCTTTACATAAGTTTCAATCCGATGGCAAGTATTTAAAATWGAAACCATTTATAAAGATTTTTAACTTAAATAATATATACGAGTACGACATACGTCATACATTTTGAAAAATGTATTTGAATTTAATTCTTAAAGTTAGTTAAATTATGACGAATTATTATAGTTAAAAAAAAAAATAAACATTTAATTTACCTAATTATTGAATATTATTATAACTGTAAGATGACACTATTACAGATGAAGGGGTAACAGTACGATACAAAACATTATCGCGAGGTGATAAAATCTATATATATTTACAGTTTTATATTCAGTAGAAGACTATGTTGAAAAATGCTTAGCTTGACTTATTATTAACAAGAATCTCAGTTTTTAAAATCAGTTATAATTGCATCAGAATTATAATCTGTTTGATGTTTATTTACGGTTTTCTTTTATAGGCATTAAAAAATTTTAATTAAGTCATAAAATTAAAAATACTGCTTTTTGTTTAATTATTATGGCTTACTTAAAATTAAAATACATACTTAAACTAATTTTAGTAAAATATTTAGTGCAKATRTACAAATACTAACATGACATATTAATAAACTATTATGGTTGTTGTATTTAATTGTAAAGGTTCGTGTATTATTAACCATGTTGTATAGTACTTATTTATTATTTATTAAAACAAATATATATAGGTTATTTATTTAAATAATTTGTTTATAACATTCATTGTATACGTATTAGTTAATTTAGGTTTTTTAATATTTATGCGAGAAATTTTTTCTATTAATAATAAAAATTTAATTTTCAAGGACCTAAAGCTAGAAAAGGTGACGGATATTTATCAGAACCGGAAAAAGGATATGATTCAGATTTCTGCGAAAACAGACTGTTTCAAAATTTAGACGGCGAATATACGAGAAATGTTTCCATGAGAAGATCGTAAGCATGAGCATTTATTTGTTATGATTATGATGTATATTTTTAATGGTTAATATGTTTTAAGAGTATCTCCTGTAAAATGTGGACAAGATAGATATAAGAACCAGCCAAGACCAATTGAAAACTATGAACCAGGACATTCTTCGATAGCCGAGAAGGAAACGAAACAGTGGTGGGACGAGGTAATGAATACTTTTGACGGGGTGAGTCAAACTCTGATTCGTTTTGCATTAATGTGAGCGTCTAAATATTTCTCTTAATTTCCAGAATTCCGACCATAAAATTCCCCCTCCTCAAAATCGGTCATCGTCAAAAAAATCAAATTTAGCTCAGTAAGAAAATTAGTATAAATTATGATTAATTCATGTGTATTAATTGAAGGTTATATTTTTAGAGCTTTAAAAGAATCTGGGTATGAAAGCGATTCTACATTAATATTTAAAAGACAAGAAAATCAATCTCAATGTCTTTCACCAACTGAACAAAAAACAGCATATAAAGTAATTCAAAATGGCGGAGAAGTACCATTCCAGGGTTTGAGAAAAACTTTTCCTGAGCGACCAAAAGGTTTGATTATAATGTTGTCATAAAATAATAAAACAAAATAAGTTTAAGTCACTATATGAACACCAATATGCACATTAATAAATCATTAACTAATTACACAAATATCTATCAACATGATAATATTTCGTTTAAGAAAAAAATAGATTCAATAATAATTAATACAAATACAAATTTCAATATTACCTACAAATATATTGAAAATTTATAATTAAATTCTAAAATTATTGACTCTGTGTGTTATTTTTGTATATTTTTATTGGAAGTTTTTTTTTATATATTTCATGTATTCGAATTATGAATGAAGTTTTATTTTTGAAATTTTGATTTATTTTATTTAAAATTGGGTAAATGGAAAAATTTAAATCTTTTTTCAACTCTGGGTTTTTTCGTAATCAAGTTTTAAAAATACATAATAAGGATTCTAAAATTTATCATTATTATTATTGTTTTTAAATTTCTTTCTAACTATATAGACATGTTAATATTATTATAGGTAGGTAGTACTACTAGTACTACATAAATAATAATAATGCGTTGGTGTTAGGTTATCACTAATTATGAGGCGATAACTAATAGCCTTAGYAACAATACCAACTTAATATTACACAAACACAGTCTTAAATTAATTAATAGCACACTAATGTTAATGAAAAACGAATTTCGTAAAAAAATAATACTTATCTACATTAAAAGTAAAAACATAAATCTCGAAGTATAGTTATGCTACGATGGTGGACATTTTATGCACGTTTAAAAATAACGTATAGGTGTAATAAATTAATTTTTCACTTTTGGTATTAGATATTTGAATAATGTTTTCAATAAAAATAAAAATTCACCTATCATTTATACATATAATATACATGTATTAATACGAGTATATAAGTAATGAATGATCGTAACAAAAACAATTTTGGCCGCACTAAATAATAATGCACCGTCTACTTTTTTTGGGAAATTCTGTGGAAATTAATGGAAGCACTGAAATATTATGATAAGTGCAACGCAATATTTTATAACGGGTTTAAAAATAGCTACTATCTACCTGGCTGGCTTGTACTGCACAAACATGAAGCATCTGGATAATAGTTTAAAATAATCAAATTTGATGTATAGATTTGGAGTTGGAGTATTTGCCAATCACGTCTCATTTAACTAAAATACAAATTATGAAATTTGATAATGAAGTAATTCATCATCCTTGGAAGGAAGTCACTTGCTACCCAGTCTTTTCAAACTTTAAGAGAACCGCTAAATCATCTGCTAGTCCTACTGGATCACCCCCTACTCCTCCTCGACGAGATTCATCTCGTAAAAATTCTAGACTTGAGCGGTGGACAAAAGGTGTTGACATAGAATCTAGTGCTGAACTAAAAATTCGAAAATCAAAACCCGAAACTGATAAAAGATCAAAAAGCTCAATTTTAAAATGTTCTACAAAAATGTACAATAATGACATTAAGAAAGAAAAAGATAAGTCCCTCAAAGTTACAACTACAGTATCAACTAAAGGAAAAGTACTCCCAAGGTCCAGCACTTCTTCAACAAATTCTTCAGAATCATCGTTACCTAAAAAAACAAAATCATTATCAACTCCAGCTAAAAGCATTCCCGTCTCTAAAACTGTTCAGAAAACCATTTCGAAGGATAAGGTTCCTAAAAGTAATCTAGTAAAAACGAATAGCGGAAAACGGCAGAGTAAAAAAATTGAAATAGTTAAAACATCAGTGAAATCGAGTTTGAAAAGTGAAAAAGTTGTTAAAAATAATGAAAAACAAAATCAATTTGGAGAAGAATTTTTTCAACAACTACTTTTAACTGATGAAAAACAGAAACAAATTCCTAAAATAAGTCCAATCAAGAATAAAGAAAGGTCTAATGTATGTCGTAAAGGAAGTAAAATAGACATATATTTATCAAATAAAAAGCCTGTGAGTGAATCCAAATTTAAATCTTTTGATAAATATCAGTCATCTGGTGTAACTGAATGGGATCAGTTTGGAGATGAAAGTGTTGATTTTTTAAAAGGCAGAAGTGCTAGTGAACCACCTTCACGGTCTCCATCTTCTCGTCGTATTAAAAGCTTCCAAGCACCAGTGAAATTAATTGAAAGTGTAACTGGTATTCGCCGATGTCAACGATCTAAAAGTGCTGAAGAACCTATGGAGAGAGTGAAAAATGCTGCAGTTGATTATGAATATCAGTCCTATGTGCGAGAGTTAAGACATTCAAGTAAAAAATCCGAACGCTTCAAAGAGTTGCATAATTTTTATTGTAGTTTGGAAAGATTAGGAGAATTAGAAAAAACTGCGGAAAAGGCAAGTAATAAAGTTAGARCACGTGGAGATTTGATAGATTACGATAAGTGGAAGACTATTAGAGTCAAGGAAAAAGCTGAAACTGAAATAAAATCATTACATGCAAAACTTGAAGATGTTCAGAAATCAAAAGATGTGCTTTACAAAACTAAAGATCCTGAAGAAATACGTTGGAAAAGAAATTTAGATCGGGGATTGAGAAATAAAGAAACTTCGGTAATTGATTTGAAACGAAAATTCCATGCTATAGGGAATGATACTTATCGTAAACCAGAAGTTAACGTTTACAGACCACTTTGGAGAGGAACTTCAGTTCAAGATGTAGCTGAATCATTAAAACATATTACGTCATCAAAAAGAGGTCGTCCTGTATCAGAAGAGAGAGAAAAAAATTACACGTCTATACCTAGAAGATCGAGTTCTAGAAGTCCTTCTAATATTGGTTGCCGAATATGGAGCAGTCTTTCTATGGAACAATTGAATCGGCTCAAGACACAACTTAATGAAGTCTACAGTACAATATCTGATTTGAAAGGGGAAAGGGTACCAAGAGCCATACAAAAAAATAGATTAAAAAATGATTACGAAATTGAAGTTAATGGCAGAGTAAAGAGATCTGAAATCAGTTCATCCTTGTATATAAGATCAAGTTCAATGGGACCAGCTAGAAAAAATGAAAGAGAAGAAGGCCTCAGAAAATCAGATTCGATTGGATCAGTATGTTTAAGTGAAAATGAAAAAAAAAAAATTTCAAGAAATATAAGCAATGAAGTGTTAGAAAAAAAACAAAAAAAACATTCAGGGAATGTCGTAATACCCAAAGAAACTTTAGGAGCTGTTGCTGCTGTAAAATGTAAAAGTAATATTTCTGAAAGTGTTTCTCCAAGAACTTGTTACTCAATAGATGTATCTGAAGAAGAATCTATTGCAAAGAATTACGAAAAAAATTATTTATTGGTTTTGGCTGATAACGAAGACAAGAAAAAGATGATTTCTGATTGGGCCAATGGCACAAACATTAGTGAATCTAGCTCATCAGCTTCTACAGTTATACATCTTGGAACAAAGAAAACAAATTTACATTCATCTCAAAGTTTTTCATCTATGAAGTGTATTTTTGGGGAAAGAGAATRTATGCGAAGAGTATTATCTCCATCACCCGATCGATGTTACGRATATTCAAAATTAATTAAAAATGGAGCTGTAAGAAAGCTTCGTAGAAAATTTGAAAGCTTCGATGATCTTAGATTTTTGCATACACCGAACGAATCAAATACTTTAAAAAGGTATAAAAGTGACCCCGAACTCAACAGAAATATTATTAGATATCATGAATATGGTGATGTGCAAAATCTGAAAACCAAATATGAACGGTGCAAAAGTCCAGTGCCTAAATGTCCGTTGAGACCAGACAATAGACTTATGCCTCGTATAAATGTAATTAGTAAACTAGCTAGTCTTCAAGACAAGTTAACTAAAGGTGAAGTAGAAAGAATAAGGACCATGTTTGAAAATAGAAATAGAGCATTTATGTTGGGTCAATTTTATACTTCCACTCCTGACTTGAGAGAAGCAAGGAAGATGATACCATTTTTAGACTGTAATTGGATGGCACACAGATATCCGGAACCAGAACCTTTTACCAAACCAAAAACGAGACCAAAATCTGCATCACCAGTCCGTTACAACAGAAAACATCATCATCCTTCAATTCTGAAACATTCAAAACATGATGGGTTTTTAAGCCAACCATACAATCCAGAAGCTCATAAGCCCAAGTATAGGTGGACACCATCTTGGAATGGTGTATGGACCCAACAGCCAACATTACCACCAAAACCATCAATCGTTAAATTTAAAGGTGCATTTTTTTTAAATCTATCCACATTAATCTTCAAAATGCACATACAGTTTATAATAAGAACGTAAGTTTAAAACTTGAATTTCAAATTAAAACAAAAATTCGTCCAACTTATTAATTAGTTAATTAACTACATGTATTTTAAATTTAGAACATAGGTATAGACGGTTATTGTATACATTTTATAAGCTGTCTGTTATACGATTCTAAAAATATTTTCCAGCTTTATTGTTTCATTTTTAACATGATAATTATTATTATGTGTTATAGACTTGTAGTTCGTTAAAATTGTCTAACATAAAATAATATTCATATAGTAAAATAACAGAAATTTACAGAATAGGTGATAATTATTTTATAAAATACAAAGACCACCCAACGCTTATAGGTACAATGATAGGTAGATCGTAGATATACTGTATWGTGTATTATAGTGTATATCAGATACCTACTCTAAATAACCGTTCCCAAATAAATTCAATTCAGAAAGTCGTCTGCATATATTAACTAATACAATATTATTACCTACCGTACATTTAAATTATATCTTTATGATTATTGTAATGACCATTCGTATTGAATTTTACCGACAGTTTCTTAACATGCGACCAAGTTAATTAAACAAACTCTTAAAGAAATCGAAAGTAGTATTGAGAAGTACGCTCCATTTCGCGGTAGGTAGTGCGGTACTTTACAAAAAAACAATCCATTAACGTACACGAAATTAACCTTGGCAAGGTTCAAGGCTACTATTATAAAATCCAGATAGGATTCAAAAAATCCAAATTCCTGTGCCTATATTATATTATTATATACCACGGGTGAGTGAATACATTATTGTGACATTCTTCCACGTTATTGACCCCGATCATAATACACAAACTACARACGGCAACCACCAGACGAGAGCGCTGCCATCGCCTGTAGCTCGGTCTGTCCCATTCCGATTATTTTGCCGCCGAACATGTGGTAGTGTATGATCGTCTTCGGATGGTGACGTCGGTTGTTTGTTCGGTCATGGGTTGAGTTGGGTCAATGCGTGTTTATAGTTATCGTCGCCACCCTCCGTACGATATTCCCATTGTAATAAATTCGAGTTTTGGGTGTTATGGCTGGCGATGACATGAAAAAACCGCTCTTGTTGCCAGCTAGAACAGTCAGTTTAAGGAGGATCGTCGTCAACGGTGACTGTAAGTACTAATTTAGTACCTACCTACTGTTAGCAATAAAGCTAATTTACAAATGAATGAAAATTTAAATGAACTAAAAGTTTTCATGCGAATGCTAGAATAGAGCTTAAATGGTTTTGGAGGTCAATATGCAATGCATATGAACTGGCATAATTACCAAGACAGTGCAATTACTGATATTATATTTGTTGTATATACTATATCGGTTAAAATAATGGATGTTCTTTCATTGAAATAATTTGTTCACAGTTCATATTATGTATGCTTTAAAGACTGGGTAATTAAATATTATGTATTATTTTAAATAWTATTTTACCACGAAATACGTATAAAGACAAGACTGAAAAGTATTCGTAACCACAGTTTATTCAAATGCGTGCAATCATATCGTGTACCAACGTTTATATTATTATTACTTACATCATTAAATATATAATATACATATATATAAATATGTAATATTAAAACTTAAATTTATTAGAAATTAAAAAAGAGTAAAATACTTCAAAAAATAATAGTTAAAACATTAACTATTTTTGTTCACGTAATTTCCAATAATTTCATACAACTTTGGTTTCTTATGCATTATAATTTTCGAAAAATATCCAAAATTTATAAGTACGTTATAGATATATATTTATATACATGTATAATATATTTTATACTAAATCTATTAAAATTGGTTAAATTGAAGTGGGTATTTTACCATCAGTGTTTTGGTTAAACGTGTAAACTACCATATATATTTTTATTAAATTACTCGTTTTTAAGTTAAAAAAATTGTAGAACATTCTTACCCTATATTTATAACACAAGAAGTATCTTTAATGCTTTTAAAAATATAAAATTTGATTTTAAGGTGTCCTAAAGATAATTTCAAAGCTTAATGTTAACTCATAAAAAACACGTAACTACATAATTACTAAATTACATTTTAAGTTTAAAGTTCCCGTAATTGTATAACCACTAAATTAAAACTTAAGTATATGATATTTATATATTGTTTTCTGGGTTGTTCTTTTTTGCAACTGAATGAATAAAACATTGTAAAAACAAAAAAAAAGTATATAATATTGTTCATGTGTAATATACTGTAAATTATTATCTATATTATATCGATCATCATATTCATGTACATATGTAGGTACTCTCAATGGGAAGTCGATATTAATCACTAGGTCAGTTTCAAACTTTACATTAAATTATAACTATGAAGTTCATAGTATAATATAGCGCTATAGTCCAGAAAAATTGTGTGGAGAATAGATACAGATCAAAAACCTATATAGAAGTCGGTAGATCACACAGTTTGTCAGAACCAAAATGTATTGTTATAGGTTATAGCCATTTATAGGTATATACGTGTATATATATATACACACGTATGAGATATCCATACCCATTTAAACATATTTTAACTGTGTTTATATAGTATATCATATTATCATACACAAAACCAAAATCATAAATCATAATAATATACCAATGTATCAATATAATTCGTAATGCATTTCTATTCGCTGAGCAAAAACGTTTTGCCAAGATACAAAGGAAGGTTATCCGGCATAATGTATAAAAAACAAAAAACTTAGAGCCCCGCTCACTCAAATAGTAGGCATGCTTTTGGAATATCAATAGAACAAACTTTTAATAGCAGTATTTATTACTTATTGACTATTACAGCTGTTAGTATAATAATTGTACATTACCTAAAATAATAATAGTATTTTCATGTTTAACTACTTCATGTTATAATAATATATTATAAATATTTTATGTGATGTACATTATTGTACATACTATTTAGATAGGAGTACTTTTTTTCGTGTGCAAATGAAAAAATAATATGAAATAGTTTATTTGTCAAGTCACAAACCATTTACCTTGAACATAATTTTTTCCACGGTTGATTTCATCTATGGTAATGTTCCATTTCATTAAAAAATTAGATATAATCTATTAAGTATCCGAACCGCTAACGTTCGGGCGTTTGTCTGTTTAATATGTTTTGTCTATATAATAAAGTCGGAATAATAACTATACGAGTTTTACATCTGCGCGCTTCACCATATTATGAAACAGAATCGTGAATAGTTTAACCGCAGGTATATTTCAATGCTCTTGGTAAATACATATTTAATATTGTTTCCAGATAGAAATACAAGCTCGAGGACATTATAGGTCAAACAGTTTTGTTCCGCCCACGGGAAAAAAAACTTCAGCTGTATATATACAACATATACCATCATATAATACCTCCCCCCTCGTGCTACTAACTATTGCCTCACCAACCCTTTTCCCGTCTTAAGGTCACGCGTCCAGGCGCCGATATTAAATTAGATTATAGTGCACTTTCAACCCTATCTCCGCTTTGTTTGAGTCTTTAACTCAACCCTTGCGATAGTAAAATTAGGTTTCCGAAGGTCCCCGGGAAATAAAGAATTGCCTCGTAAAATAAAATAAAATAAAAACCTGTAGGTCTACTTTTACGAGCCTCGCGCTCACAAACGCGTTATATTATAAATTATAAGCAACATGTTTAAGTGCGCATGTAGTAGATTGTCAATGTCCGTGTGAATAATGGAAAAAGTGTGGTCTTGTTTAATCAGTAGCAGCTGGCCGATCAAAGGAAACGACCGACTACAGCTCTTAAACGTAGTGTAATATACACGCGGGGTTCAAAAAAACTACATAAAATCAATTTTGTTTCGACATACCAATATTTTTAGAACGGCTTCTAAATTTGCTCTCGGTTTTCCATTGTACGAGCACAAGACTGTAAAATATTTCACTATATTATCTTCGTAAAAATAGGCAACTTTCTTAACTACATTTACTTTTTTTCTTTGGGGAATTTTCTCCGTTTTAGTATAATCTTTGCTTAGCAGATATTTATTATAATGTTTACTAATAAAAGAAATCTTTCCACTGACAGCTGATTTTCAAGAATTTCCTATCAAATCTATCACTTTCAATTTGTTCTATGTAAATTATTAATTTGACAATGGAGAAAGTATCGTGATAAACAATCGCGAACTTGCATAATATTAACTATCCGATTATTAAATATAGTCATTTTTCCCTCTGATTTCATATTATTTATCGTACAAAAATCAATAAACTTTATACCTTAGAAAATAATAAACTTAATAATAAATATAGTGACGTAATACCACGTCAATCACGATTATAATTTATAGTTATTTTTATGATTGTCCAATATCTTACATGGTGCACTCGGCCYGGCGTATATACTGACATCTGGTTATTTTGATCAGATATAATATCTATTTTTAATTGTGCTCTAAAATCTCACGTGAAGCATTGCAGAAAATTTAAGTCAAACTAATCGATTTTTTTTCTAGTTGCGTAGCTTTCACGTAGATGAAAAAAATGAAACATGTTTCGCTAGAGCCCATTGTCAAAAGAAGAGAAACCGATAATTATATTGCCGTTTGGACGTGTTTAACGACCCGTGTTACATTGATCTTCCATTCACTGGTAGCACGTGTTCGAATATTTTCTAGACTGAAGGTCTTTTAATATTATATATACAATGTTTCTGGAAAAAACACAACAAAACGAATGTAGGACTATGAAAAGATGGTTTTTTTTTTATCACATTATGGTTTTATCGAAGCATTGGCATAATTTTGATAGTACCGACTGGCAACTATAAATGTTAGGGTTGGCGAGTGAAGGGAAGCAAAGAATGAAAATTACCGCACGCAACTCATTGTGTCCATTGTTGATTTTGTCATCATTCTTTTCATTGTTCAGTACAGCTATTCGTTCGTTCCCTATGGTATTCGATTCCTAATTTTAACTGACATATATGAGGGGACCGACTGTGTATGCAATAACCGACTTTTAGTTGCAACAAAATATTTGTGCATTATCGGGCTTCACTGAAAATGCAATACCTCCTATGGTATTTTAAGAAGTACCTACTAGTATAATATTTTAGTTGAACGCTAATGTTTATCATTTAAAATAAAGCTAACAAAATAATTTTAGATTCACCGCACAAATATGCGGAGTCGGAGGTGACATTACAGTATCGTCGTCCGGTTAGAAATGAAATTAAAGAAGAATGGTCAGAAGAAGAGTTAGCTAACAAGCAGGCAGAAGCTATGAGAAGGATTTACCAAGAGGAAAGACGGAGAAAGTACCTTCAAGAACTTCAAGACATGTCGAATAGGAGACACGCAGACAACTTATTGTTAGTGGCAAAACATGACTATAATATCAAAGTAAAATTTAAAAATTTAATATTTTTTTTAGGCCTTCTCAAAAATCTCCTATCCCCTTAAACCGCTACGATGACTTCGTAGACGAAAGTCAACAGCCACCAAGAAGTCGTACTCCAGAACCAAAGCTCGTAGCAAGAGCTTTATATAATTTTGTTGGCCAAACGTCCAGGTAATGAAACGTTATTACTGTTATCAATTGTATTCATCCAATAGCATTGGTCCTATTATAGCCTTATTATATAACCGGACATAAATATACTATAATTTATAATATATAGGTATTGGTAGTATGTTATTTATATTTTAATTTCTGTGCGATTGTATATAGAGAACTATCGTTCCGGAAAGGTGACATCATATTCGTCCGGAAGCAGATTGACAAGAATTGGTACGAGGGGGAACACAACGCCATGGTCGGATTGTTTCCTTTCAACTATGTCGAGGTGTGTACTGCGTATTATTCAATTCAAAAATTCCGTTTTCCGGTCCACAGAGCTCACGCAGCAAAAAAGTTAAAATTTTGTATTTTTGGCAGGTTATTCCGTACGATGGAGTCAGGACAACGCCGCACAGACCTTACGAGGGCCAGGCAAGAGCAAAATTCAATTTTGTGGCACAGACCAATATGGAATTGTCGTTAGTCAAAGGTAAAAATAAAAAATACGATTAAAACATTTATACACGACTACGGTAATAAATAATAGTAATATTATAAAATAATGAATCACCAGCAAATAACATTCGGCAGTGACGGGTGATTACGATGACGTTTAACGTTCAATGAACGTTGAACACTGCAAGCAAAGTTCGTTATATGAACCACTCCTTACTCGGTTTGGAATTAATTCGTCAAGACAGACATACGTGTTATTCAAATGTAATAGTATATTATAATATAATTATATGTTTGTGTTATTTTCGTCATCAGGGGAACTGGTTGTTCTGACTAGGCGTGTTGACAACAACTGGTACGAGGGCAGAATCGGAAGTAAAAAAGGAATATTCCCTGTATCTTATGTCACAGTTTTAGTGGAACCAGGCGATCATCCGAGTAATTAAAATATTATTATCATTATTATTTGCACATAATTTAGTAATTCGTGCGCTTGCCCGTTCGATGATTATGATATGTATCGATATAGGTATCGAGTATGCGTCATTCCGATCCAAAACTCATTTGGTTCGTTTTATTTTCAGATCCGTCGACAAGCGAGTCATTCAAGCCCGTGGCGTCCCCGGCATCGCATTCTCTGATTACCAGCAACCCGCCGAAGACGCAGCACATGTACCAGCCGGATAGCTATTCTTCAATGGTATCAAATCGTCTAAACAAAAAAAAACTTGTTATACTTTATGAAGTTAGGGAAACTTATTGTCGATGATATTGATTGTAGCCGACAAGAAGTTCCGGGACCCAAACGAATAAGAAACAAACAAATAACATGAACGAAACTCTACATGTTGACGTACATTCAGAACCCATGCCGTAAGTAAACGAATACATTTTTCATACTATATGGATGCAAAGTTTAATAGTTTATTTGTTTATTTATTTTAACAACATTATCATTTATAAAGAAAAAATATTCATCACACTCCGTTACTTGTTAGGTGCATTTATCTATTATTTTTACAAATAATATTTATTATGTAAAATATGTRATAGACAATCATAGAATTAATTGTTGTGTATGTCAGGCGCTGAAAGGGAAGCCTCTAACATGATTGTTACCGTTATGATGGCATTCTTAAATAATATCGTAATATGTTGGTAGGTTGATTATTAAATACTGAAACCAGTCAGGAACAATATTTTGCTTTAAATTTTATATTTTACATTATCAAGCATCTAATCGTATAGATACAAGATACTTTAGTCTAAAAAAATTCTATGTTATCTATGACTGTGTAGGACTATAGAAGAAAACATTTCATTACAATAATGCTAAAAATCGTTCTTTTTCGTATTGTAGAAAAAATCACGATCATCATATGATACTATGTTGTAATAATGCTAAAAATCGTTCTTTTTCGTATTGTAGAAAAAATCACGATCATCATATGATACTATGTTGTAATAATGCTAAAAATCGTTCTTTTTCGTATTGTAAAAAAATCACGATCATAATATGATACTATTGTTATCAACGAAAAAACATACTAGAGGTGTGAACTGACAAAAATAATCAGTACAATGTTTATGTATTATTATATGTATTTATACTATGTTTTGCGTTTATGCAGATGTTGACTGTAGAGTCAAATTTGATAAGATACATTGAATAAGTGAATTATTTTATTTTATTTCATTTATTTCGACTTACCAAAGTTAGGTTCCTTGTAAGGTCTGACTTGATTCTATGAGCTTGCTTACCCATATTTATACGTAGCAATGACGAAATCGTAGAATATGATTTACTTGATGAAAAACGTATACGTCACTCGTGCACAAAACATACGATATAAAAATTTATCTAATATACGTGTTTCATTATTTTATCCGTATAAAATATGTTTATCTTACTATTATCTCACTAGATTGCATATTCAAAATTGACGCTTATTTCAATAATATTTTTTACATTATAATTAAATATATTTTTTAATTCAAAAATATAATCCGTACACATACGATGCATTTCAGCAGCATGTATATAATCATAAAATCATTTTATTTAAATTAAATTAAATTAAAAATCATTATACTGTAGAAGGACGAATAAAACATAAAATAAGTAGGTATAATGTGAATGTTGAGACCAATGTATACATGCGACCMATATAACATTACAATACATTATAATATTAAAAAATGAGCGATTTATCACTCGAGTTGTTGACAGTTATAGGGCGTTATACAATTATAAGCCACAGAACAGTGACGAATTGGAACTTAGAGAAGGCGACGTAGTCTTCGTAATGGAAAAATGCGACGACGGTTGGTACGTGGGATCGAGTAAGCGGACAGGATGTTTCGGCACTTTTCCCGGCAATTATGTCCAACGCAGTATCTGATCTGTTCACGAAAAAACAAAATAATTTTCTAAAAAATCATCCATGTGTCTCCTCCTCGACCCCAGCTCCGTGTCCCCGGATTCTCACTTGTCTCTCTAAGTAAAACATAATATTTTTATATACCAAAGGATTTTGCATTATCTATAAGTTGTTTTTTTTTTTTTATTATTATTATTGGTTATAGTTTTAAACGTTCACTGTTAACATATAATACGTATTATGTGTAATGTACATTTTGTCTGTAATTAGATATTGTGTTGTTATAATCGAATAACATTATATTATTACTATTATTATTATCATTATTATTATTATTATTATTATTATTACGATTATAATTATTGTAAATTAAAAAACACTAGTCAATCAATATCACTATTAGAGATACAATAGAATATTATATACCTAGGAAGGTACTCTATTAATATTCTAATGGTATAGACCACTATATAGGTACTTTAATACATTATACTTCAACAAAGTTGTTAATATTTGTATAATAATAATATAATACTATTTTACTTTTATGCATAATAATAATATAGAACGTACGTCATTTATGACCGATCGACACATGTGTAAACCTAAACTGCTTTGTTTTTCTAAGAATCTTAGCCCCTCTGAACGAAACCAGAATATATTATATTATGTTATTTTATTGACGTGCCTTGATTTTTTTTTTTTTAATTCGTCTTCGGGAGACTGGAAACAAACTTTTATTTTTAACTACCTACTATACTTATTTGAGATTTTCCTCAGCTATATATTGATTTATTGTTGTCTTTAGTGTCAATAAAAATGAATGCCGTTCAAAAAATAACTATGCATATATAATATTTATTACCATACATTCGAATCAAATACATTTTATACTCATCGCTACACACACACACACACACACACACACACACAAACACAAACACATTAGACAGGAATATCATTGAATTTTTTTTCCTAACCTAACCCACCGATTATTACTACTTACATGTTCTATGGATGTACATATATTATAATTCCAATTGAGGGGCCAAGCCCTCCTCCCGCGTGAATAGGATGTCCAAAAACACACACGTATATATTATAAATTAATACTAATTGTTTTAAATTTTTATGTAATATGATCATATTTTTCATTAATTGTATTTTCGTAAGACAAAGTGTTCCTTAATTAATAGGTATAATATTATACRGATAGATTGACRAAACATCTATAACCATCAAATGTTATGTCGATAAATCACAAGCACATAGCACATATTAATATATATATATATATAATTACTATATATTATAAACTATTTTATGAGCTCAGTTTAAAATTCAAATAGAATAATATCTCGAATGTGTATATCATTTTCTTTTCACCCAAATGACAAAATTTATAATTTATATATTATATATATGTTTTTTCAATTATAAAATACACCTGTGCTGTCCAAAAGCATATTATTATTTAGTTGTATAATACTTGTTTCGTGAAATCTATCCTTGATGTTATAATAATATATATTATGATCATTTTTGTTTAATTATAATATATTATGAGGTAAATGTACCTACAACACTATTTGTCTGTTTGTACACGTACATTTTAGCACAGAATATGCTTAATGAATGATAAATAAACTAATATAAAAAATATCGACACATTGATTTCATCTATATTTTCAATTGTATTTATTATTTTCTTTAACAAAATATGAGACTATATCATAAATGTATATTTATACCTACTATAATATTTTTACCMGTATATAACCACAAATCTTGACTTTTGAGTGTTTTAATAAATCTAAGTAGATACAACAAATTATCGATTTCGTGTCTATGTTTTAAAAATATTCACATTAAATAACCAATAGTACTTAAATATAGTAGGTATGTTTATAGGTTTTATACACTTATTCACTTGTTTGTAATCAATGATATATAATTATTGTATGTTAATATATTACAACTTTGTTTGAGTTACATCATACACTAATAATGCAGTATATTTATTGTTTATCATTA